AGTTGAAACAGCTTTATGGTGAGAGCTGAGTGCCCTTGGCAGTGCGGGGCAGAGGTTGAGTGGATGGGGACCAGAGGTCCCGACCTTCTGGCCAGTCAGTCCCCCAGGCCCAGAGAGACAGGCACATTGGCTATTCTGCCCACGTCCGCTAAGCCCTGCTTAATGCTGGCTCAGCGCGCTCACCGGGTAACTCAGGCCCAGCTCTGGCAGACCAAGAGGCACCGAGGTATTGAAGAAAGAGAGATGGTCTCTGGAAGTGCACAGACTACAGTTCAAATTCTGCCCCACCAGCCAGCCGCAGTGGCTCAGGCCTGTAATCCCAGCACTTTGGGAGGCCGAGGTAGGCAAATCAGGAGGTCAAGAGATCGAGACCATCCTGGCAAACATGGTGAAACCCTGTCTCTACCAAAAATACAAAAATTAGCTCAGCATAGTGGTGTGTGCATGTAGTCCTAGCTACTAGGGAGGCTGAGGCAGGAGAATCGCTTGCACCTAGGAGGTTGCAGTGAGCCAGTAAGCTGAGATCGCACCACTGCACTCCAACCTGGCAACAGATAGAGACTCTGTCTCAAAAAAAAAAAAAAAAAAACACAAAGACAATTCTGCCCCACCAATGTCTGTGTGGTCTTGATGGAGTTACTTAACCTCTTTGAGCTTCTATTGCCTCATCTAGAAAATGAGGCTATTAATAACACTTACAGGTCTTGGGTGAGGATTGCTTGAAATAAGATGGTATTGCTGCCGGGCGCGGTGGCTCAAGCCTGTAATCCCAGCATTTTGGGAGGCCGAGGCGGGTGGATCACGAGGTCAGGAGATAGAGGCCATCATTGCTAACATGGTGAAACCCCGTCTCTACTAAAAATACAAAAACTAGCCAGGCGTGGTGGCGGGCGCCTGTAGTCCCAGCTTCTCCGGAGGCTGAGGCAGGAGAATGGCGTAAACCCGGGTGGCGGAGCTTGCAGTGAGCCGAGATCGCGCCACTGCACTCCAGCCTGGGCAACACAGCAAGACTCCGTCTCAAAAAAAAAAAAAGATGGTATTGCTAATGGTATTGATGTATCCAGCACATGGAAAATGTTTGGCAAATGGTAATTCCATATTGATTTTTTTTTTTTGAGACAGTCTTGCTCTGTCACTAAGGCTGGAGTGCAGTGGCACAATCTCGGCTCACTGCAGCCTCCGCCTCACAGGTTCTAAGCGATTCTCCTGCCTCAGTCTCTGGAGTAGCTGAGATTACAGGAGTGCACCACCATGCCTGGCTAATTTTGTATTTTTAGTAGAGATGGTGTATCACCATGTTGGCCAAGCTGGTCTCGAACTCCTGATCTCAGGTGATCTACTGGCCTTGCTCTCCCAAAGTGCTGGAATTACAGGTGTGAGCCACTATGCCTGGCCCCATATTGATCGTATCATCTTGTTAATTACACAATTACCCAGGTCATGTAATTTACCTTTCTGAATCAGTTTCCTCATCCACCAAATGGGGACAACCGCCCACTTAGGCGGTTGGGAGGATATAAGGTGCCCAGCACAGGGCTGAGCGTAAGGGTGCTGCCAACAGGTGGCTGTTGGTCACAGCTGGCACCCTGAGTGTTGTCCCCCTATTTCCCTGACTGCTGTTCCTTATCTCCCCTTGGGCTCTTGTTTCTACCCCTCCCATGTTGCCATACTGCCTGCCCTGCACCCACTCCCTGCTAAGGGAGGGGTCCTGCATTAGGCCCCCAACAGCCATGCCCCCATATTGAACCTGACCAAGGTCTGATTGGTTGGTACCTGACCAAGGACAGCTGTCTCTGGCCATCTGCCACCTATGATTGATATGCCTAGTTCAGCCCTAGATAGGAGTTGCCCATTGGTGGGGCCATCATATCCAGGTGACCTTGGAAAGGCAACGTAGGAACAGGCAGAATTGGTGAAGCAGAGAGAGGAAGGTGAGCGGATATGCAGAGAGTGAACAAGTGTACCAGACAACCTCAAATCTAACCCCATGCATCCTCCCGGTCCTGGGTTCCAGCACCCTGAGGTGCTGGCTCGTCCCTGACAAGGAATGCTCAGTCTTGGGCCGGCTGGAAAGCCCTGATTCTGTCCTGTCCCATCTGCTGAGCACAGCCAAGCTCGCCGCCAGCGCTCTGTGGCCATCAGCCTTGTCAAAGGGAAATTTGAGGGTGGAGGGCCTGTCTGCTCTGTGGGGTCGGCTGCCCTTTCTCTAGCACAGATCTTGGCTGTGGCTCAGCACTGGCTTCTGGGATCCACTTCCATTGTATTCCTCTCCACCAATTCGGAGGCTCCAGGGAATGGGGGTGGCCCTCCCTTCTCCCAGAACGATGCCCTAAGTATGTCCGCTGAGTGCAGCCTGTAAAGCGCTGAGCAGATGCCTGCAGGCTCATGACAGTCCTGCGTCACGGCTGACCCTTCTCCTGGGGTGTTAAGCAGAGGTGTCAGCACAGAGGGGGTGACAGAGTGAGACCCGCTCCCAAAGACACACCTGTAAGGCACACCTGCAGGCTGGAAAGTTGAGGAACTCGTGGCTGAGCAGGTGAGATGATTCAACCTCCAACCTCCTCCAACACTCCCAGGAGGAGCCGCTAGGTGGCCCCGCTCACCTGTCCAACAGCGCTTCTGCAGGCCTGGAAGGAGATCCTCCAGGGCGTCCTCCGGTCCTCCGGTTTGCACCTGCCCAGGTACCCCCGGGTCGCTCCCCGAGCTCCGCCTTCCCTTCTGTGGTCCCGCCATTGGAAATGCCTTTCCCTCAGCACCCAGACGCCTGGATGCTGCCTTCATGGGCCTTAGGGCTCACACCCCTCCATCCCAGGATGCTTCCCTGACTGCTCGGAGCACACCCCCAAGACCTCCTCCGTTGGCCCTTAGCACCCCTCCCTTGGGTTCTCAGTTCAGCCCCCCACCCCCGCTCCACCCCCAGGGTGGTCTTTTATCTGTGCACAAATGCGTCTGAAGTTTACATCCTCTCCCCGAACTGTGGAGTCAGAGCCTTGCGTTTCTGCCACCTGCCTGCTTTGTGCCTGTAACTGCACGGGGGCCTGCAAACCTCGCCACTCCCCACCAATAGGCAAGTCCTTGTTTACGAGGAAACCGAGGCTTGGGGATGACGTGGAATCTGCCCAAAGTCACAGCAGGAACACCTGAGCCTTGCCTTGCTCAGGTGCTGTGATGCACTGTGGCAGAGCCCTTCCGAAGCGAGTGCGGTTAACCCTTTGGCTTACATGGGGAAACTGAGGCTAGGAGAGGTATGTTGCTTGCCCTCAGCCACACAGCCAGGGCCCTGTGCCCTCTACCACATCCTTCTTCCCAAGTCTGAGGGCCCTCTAGGTCACCTGCTGCTGACCCTCTTAATTCATAGGAAAGGCCCAGGGGCGAGAAAGAGCCAGAGGCCAGAATTGGAACCTAGGTCTCCTGACTCCCAGCCACTGCTGTGGGATCCTCTCCAACTCCCGGGCCGCCTCAGTCCGGGAAGCCGGGATCAGGCCGCAGGTGAGGCCAGCGGTCGTCCTGGAAGGAAAAGGCGGTTGGGGACAAACAGCTGGTGGCTTGTGAACCCAGCACCTGGCGGGTGACAGTCTCCTCGGATGGCACCGGGCCCAGGGAGTGCCCCAGCCCAGGCTGGACGCGGCCCCCACCCCCAGCCAGTCTGCCCTGCCGGTGCCGGACGCGTAGAGGGATCGGGAGAGGGACGAAGATGGGGCGACAGACTGGCAGCCAGTGGGGGAGAGACGGAGACGGTGCCAGGGAACAGCGCGGCGGCCAAGGCGCCCCGGGAGCCGGAAAACAGCTTTGGGGAGAAGCGGGGGCGGGGAACGGGGGTGTCTGTCTGGAGCTGGGGGAGCAGAAAAAGATGGGGCCGCAGAAAGGGGCGGAGGAGGGGCGGCCGGCGGGCTCGGCGGGAGGGGAGCGCGGCGTCGGGCAGTGTGGGCGCCTCCCGGTCGGAAGCCACAATAGCAGCTCCTTCGCCGCGCAGATTAAGGACTTTGTCAATTACCTCCGAACGCCGCTCCGGGCGGATTAAATGCTTTTAAAAGTGCTGCTGGTGGGAAGGGGCAACTAAGAAGCCCCCTCCCGGCACAAATCCCCTCCCGGCGGAGGAGGCGGCGGTGGCTGGGACCGCGCGGGACGTGCCGGGGAGCGCGGGCGATCCGCCGGGAGCGCGGGCCAAGCGCGGAGCGGCTGGTACTCGCGACCACAGAGCAGTCGACTGTGGCAGTGGCGGGGACCCCCATTTCGTCCACGGGCCGCCCGGGCCGGGGGGCTTCGGGTGGGCTCTCCGACCGTGGGCGCGAGGCCACGGGTCTGCGGAAGCGGACTGGGACGCCCCCAGGACCAGGCTCACGCGTCGGGGTCGGGAGCAGGGAGTTCCCCGGGGGCTGGAGACCCCACAGCTGGGTGCACTTGCCCCAGAAACTGGACCGAGACCTCGGGGAGCCCGCAGGGGCGCACCCCCACCGAACCTGCCCCAGGTGCAGCCAGGATCGTGGGGCGAGCCCTGCTCCTTGAGCCGGGAGGGAGCCAGGAGGAGCGCCGCGCCACTCCCCCGAGACGCCGAACCGGCCGGCAGGGGCGCCCTTGGGACCCGCCCCGCGCGCGGTGAGTTGTGCGAGTCCGGCCCGGGAGGAAGTTTGAGCAGAGACACCGCCGGGGGGCTGTCAGGCCCCTCCGGGAGCCAGCAGGAGCAGGGCCGCCCGCGGCTGTTTGCTGCCCTTCGGCCGGCCGCGGTGTCTGGGGGCCAGTTCGGCCTCCTTTCTCTTGGCCTTTTCGGAGGCGGAGTTCACTATCCAAGTCCGCGGGTGTGAGCGCGCGCGTGTGTGTGAGTGTGTCGGGGGAGGCCGAGGGGAGCAATAAAAAGCAAAGAGAGTCCGAGACCAGAAAAGACGCGGAGATTGAGAAGGAGGGAGGAGGGACGAGGGAGGAGGGAGAGGCGCGCCAGGGAGGCGCGGGAGCCGTGAGCGGGGACGGCGCGCAGCGCGAGCGGCGGGCGTTGGGCTGGCGGCTCTCGCGCTCCCGCCCCCGCTCCCGCCCGCACACAGCGGCGCGCTCATCCGCACACGCCTGCCCGCTCCCGGGCCGCCCCGGCGCGGGGCACAGAGGCGAGGACCCGGTGGACAGAGCGCGCCCCGCGCCCGCGCCCGCGCCCGCGCCCACCCCACCGCCTTTGCGCTCCGCAGCGGCGCGTCGCGCCCGGCGCCCCCGCCAGTCCTGCCAGAAGATGGTCAACGACCGGTGGAAGACCATGGGCGGCGCTGCCCAACTTGAGGACCGGCCGCGCGACAAGCCGCAGGTACGCGCGGGCGCTGGGACACTGGGCCTGGGCGGCTGGCCAGGCGGTGGCTGCTCGGGCCGGCGGGGCGGGCACCCAGTGCGGGGGCTGGAGTTTGGAGCGCACCCCTTCGAGCCTCCGGAGGCACGGGCCGGGATGGGGACCCTCCTCTCCTCCTCCCCTAGCCGAGGCTTGAACTCGAGGTTCAATGGGGGCGGCACCCCTGCAGGAGCCACGCGCGCTGCGGGCCGGGTACCCTCTGTCCAGGCACCCCCAGCGACCCCCTGGTGCACGCGGGTGCAGAGGGAGTCGGGGACTTACAGTTCGCTGTGTGTCCACAGACAAATCAGCCCCCTTGCTGAGTCTCCGTTTCCTCACCTCGCCAATGGGCATCTTAGCCACCCACAAAATCTCTACTCTGGGCGCCACCCTGTGTCAGGCACCTGGTCCTGAACCTGACCCCCTGAATCTCCTCTGCATCCTTCCCTCTTTAGCCAGGGCCCTGCATACGGTAGGGGATCAATAAAGATTCATCTCCTGCAGGAACGCTGGGTGTTTTGATTTTCTGACTTTAAGACAAGGAAAGCAGGGCTCCGAGACGGTTGGCTCCTGCCTGAGGCCACGCAGCTCTGCTGGGATTTGAACCCTTGTCTGTGTGCTCCAGGGCTGGTTCATTCCTCCCTTCCTGCTGCCTCTTCAGGGGCAGTGGAGGTGGGGCTTGGAGGGTGCCCAGGGCTGTGCGGTGGAAGCGGGTGAGGGCAGAGCACCCGGGCTGGCCAGCAAGGAGGCTGGAGTCCGGAAGCCGAGGCAGAGGGGAGCCCCAGGGCTGCCCGGGGCTGGGCTGCCAAGGGACTGGGGCAGGCAGGCGAAATGAGGAGGCAGCTCGCTCACCAAGGAGAGGAAAGAGTAGGGCTGCCCATTTTAAATTTTAAATTTCTCCCAGACAGATGTCATTGGGGAAGGAACAGTTCGTGCTTGCAGCTGCAGGAGGGGGTGGCACGGGCAGCCCTTGGTGGTCTCTTCCCCTCAGGAGCTGCAACCTGCTCATTCTTCCTGGTGTGACACTGCTGTGGCACAAGGGCCCAGCCCTCTACGGTTTGCAAAGCCCCTTCCCATTCATCAGCATTACCTCACTTCTCCAAGCAGGCTGGGGACCAGTGCGTCCCCACATCACACACCAGGGATCAGAGAGGTTGGGAACATGCCCAAGTCACACGGCACATTGGCAAGAGAGTGGAGATTCAAACCCTGGTCTAACCACACACCTATCCCACTGCTTCTCGTGGGCGGCCGGGCCCTCTAAAGGTCAGGTCTGCACCTAAGCCCACCTTCAAATAACAAGTTCCCTTCTGCTGAGATCTGACCTCTCCCCCTTAGCAAGAACTGTCTTAACTTCTAGACCTGTCCTCCAAGGCCATTCCTAGCCTAGCGCACTATGCCTTCCCATTGGTCCCTTATAGGCAGTGACTGTTTGTTATTTGCCAACCCTGGGCCCCACACCACGCCGCCCCATTTCCAGATCTTTTCTGTGTCATCTTGTTTGCTTCCCCAGGCTTACACACACACACACACACACACCCCTTCACTCAGCGACACCCTACATATACTTAAAACCCAACTCGAATGCTGCCACCTCCTCCAGGGAGCCTTCCCTGATGCCCTGTGGCTGTATCTCTAAGTTCTAATAGTGTTCTAGCTTTTGCCACTCAGCTGCCTTGTCCTGGGCCCCTCCTGAATCAGGAGATCCCTTTGCACACACCCTCCTCTGGAACCCATCTCTGGTTCTCTCCCCGGGCCCAGGCTCCATTCCTTCCAGGCAGCTCAGGTCAAGCATTGAGGGCATTTGCTGAATGGAACTGCATGAAGCTTCGGCCAGGAAGAGCCTCAGGAGACAGCCAGCAGGCACTGGTCTGTCTCAAGGGGAGGTGCCTTCTGGGGAATGTGTTTGAAATGTGGCTTCAAGGCCTCTGGACCGGGCCCTACCTTCCTCTGCTGCTCCCTGAGGACACAGCTTTCAGCTGCCACCAGGCCACACAGCCCAGCTGTCTGCCCCTTGGCACTGGAGGCAGCTTGAAGGCTGTGGCTCCTGGAGCCTGGGCCAATAGCAAGCACCCCCACCTCCCCTCCCCACCCCTTTGGTGACCCAGCATGTAGACAGCCTGTTCCCTGTGCCAGCTCTGGGCTTGTTTGAAGCTTCAGACAAGAGGCAAGGCCCTTCCTGTGGCCACTGTCAGAAGAAAGAGAGAGCGCTGGCTGCCCTGGTTCCCTTGGGCCTGCCCTCCCCTGGGCCAGCCTTCTCTCCTCCTTTGCGGCCAGGTTCATCTCACCCACTGACATGCTGTGTGGCTCTGGGTAAGTTACTCCCCCTCTCTGGGCCTGGGCTTCACCATCTGTAAAGTGGGAACAGCAATCTTCACTTCCTCCTCATTTCACAAGGGCTGTTATGGGGGCCACGTGAAATACTGGTGTGTTTTGCAAACTGTAAAGCACTGTATGCTCATGAGGAGGATGCCTCTCGCAGCAGCCTGTCCCCTCTACAGGCTGGCTGTGTCCCGGTCTCCTCTCTGCCCACCAGGAAACGCCGTCTGAACATCTGGCTCCTACCAGAGGGGCCTGGCCGAGATTCTTTAACGCGGGATTTTCCTCTGAGAGCATAATGCCGATGCTGCACTCCAAGCACCAGTAGGTCACAGGCCACACCTCTCGTTTCTTAGTCACAGGCACCCTAGGAGCTTGGTGGCAGGGATGATGAACCCATTTGATAGATGAGGAAACTGAGACTAAGAGCTGGAGCTGGGACTCAAACCTGGGTCTTCTTGGACAGCAGACAAGGGCCTCTGTGGGAGGATGGAGGGAAGAGAGGCTGGCCGCCCTTTCTTGGTTCAGCCCACTCAGCCCGAGTTGGGGCTCCAGTGTCCAGGCTGTGTGGTTCTCAGGGCACCAAAAGCACCTGCTGTGAGTGGGTATAGCCCAGGTCCAGAAGTCCTGAAGGATCTTCGTCCAAATGCAGCCATTTCTGGGGACGCTGTGGGCCCCCTCTATCCCGGCCCTATCCAGCCGCAGCTCCTCTTTGCCAGGCGACCTTGGATGAGTTGCCAACTCGGACTTTGTTAGTGCATCCTCCCTCTCCCTGCAGATTGGACTTTGTTAGCGCGTCCTCCCTCTCCCTGCAGATTGGACTTTGTTAGCGCGCCCTCCCTCTCCCTGCAGATTGGACTTTGTTAGCGCGCCCTCCCTCTCCCTGCAGAAGGAAGAGCCTCTCACACCCTTGGGGCAGAGTGAAACGATATTTGCCAGGAGTTTGGAGTTTGTCAGATGAAAGGCTCTAGAAATAGCAATGATTCTTCTGGTCTTGGAGCGCGGGGCAGGAAGTCGCCCTGCAACCATCTCCGCTGGTCAGAGGGGCTTGTTTTTCCCAAGCCACCCTACAGGGAGGTCAACTTCCAACCCACCTCAGGCAAGATCTCTTGACGCTTTCAAAATTTGTAAGAACATTTCAGAAAGAAAGAAAGAAAATCTCTTTGGGAAGTTCTTCCTGATATCTAACCTAAATCCCTACTGCATTAAATTTACTCAGTGACTATTGAGGGAGGCCCCACCTCATGCTAGGAGGTATAGTCTGGTGGATACGGTCTGTGCCTCAGGGTGCTTGGAGTCTCTTGGGGGGCACAAGCTCACAGGTCAGAGGGGATTACAAACCATCATGGGTGTTAGAAAGAAGATCTAGGCCTCTTTCCTCCCCTGGGGTGTGGGTTGAGGTCACTGTGCTAGGCTTGGGGTTTCCCGAGCCCCTCCTTCTGAGCTCACTGTTTAGCCGGGGTGTGGTGTGGCTGAGGAGGCAGAATGGACGGGAGAGGTGACTGGCCAGATATTGAGTGAGGGAGGGAGGCCTGGGGAGGTGCCAGCTTTGTGGGGGCAGCAGGTGGGGTTGGTGCCATCCCTGAGTGAGAAATAGGAGGGCTCAGGTTTGGGGTGGAGAGACGCTGGTTTGGGCCTCAGTGGGCTTGAGGCCCCGGTGGGCCCTCTGGGAGGCCAGAACTGTGTTGGGGGGATGGCAGGCAAGACCCTTATAGGAAACATCTGGAGAACCCCTATCCATGGTTCAGAGCAAATGCTCCCAGGGAGTGAGACAGCTGGAGGGCTTGGATCCTCCAGGAGGGGCAGAGGCTGGGAGCTCTGTGGGGTGCTCTTATCCCCTTGGACACCTTCAGCCCCTCCTATGCCCCTCCCTGTGGCCTGAGGCTCCAGATAGCCCTGGGAGGGTTCTTCTGAAGGGCCACCAGCGGGATGGTGGTTCCCGCTCAGATCTCACAGAACAAGCCTGCAGACCCCCTTCCTAAGTCTTTGGGACCCCAGAATGGTGAGCAGAACCACCAGCCCTTCACCCCCAGGGGTATCTCCGGGACCCTCCCTCTGCCAGGGCCAGGGGCTCAGAGTTCAGCCCTTACTGGGAGCCGTGTGCTGTGTCCCGGGACACAGCCGGGAGCCGCGTGGGCTCCTGGGAGACAGGAGGAATTTCCCCAAGGCTCTGGCCTGAGGCAAGGCCCAGTCCTGTCAACCCACGGAGCCCATAACCCCCCCGCCCAGGCTCTGTGCAAGCCTCTACTGGATCCAGAGCGCACAGGACCCCACCACCTCCAACTTTCCATCTCCCAGTGCAAAGCCTCAGGATGTGTTTTTGTCATGCACAACAGCTGCCTGCCTTGGGCTGGGTGCTCTTAGGAGATGGGGGTGGGTGGCAGGAGGGGCGCTTACCTGGGTCTAACCTGGCCTGGTCTCCCCTGGAGGGAGACGTTCTTCTTCTTACTTTCATCTGTGGAGTGTGGTCCCAGTCTCCCCCGGGGACTCCTGCCAGCCAGCTCCCTTAGGAGGTGAGGAGGAAGGGAGGTGTGCCAGCTTAGCAGAGCGCCTTGGCATCAAATCCCTTCCTCCTCAGCTCCCTCCCACCCCGCTTCCTCAGAACCCCCAAGGCTGGGGCCTCAGAGAAGGTAGCCTGGACAGAGGTCACCCTATAACTGAGGCACCCCAGGGGGCTGCCTGCCGCCCTCCTGGCACGAGCCTTATCCTCCTTTTGGCCAAGGCTTCTTAGGCAACCATGAACCCTGGGTGGGCACTGGGGGTCACTCGAGGAACCAAGCTGAGTCCCTCCAGCTGGAAGCTCATGCAAGTGGTCAGTGGCAGAAGTGGGCTTTGAACCCGGGGCTCCCGGCTCAGGCCCCGGTCTCTCTCCTGCCCACCTGCCCGGGATGCCCTGTCTTGGGAGCTGGGGGCTCTCCCCATTCCGCGGCCCCCAGGGAGTGCACCCCGCTTGGCCACGCCAGGATGGATGAATCAGTTCCAGCCTCAGCCACACCAGTTGGGCTGCTCAGCGCCCAGAGCCCCCCTTATTATCTCGGGCAGATTTCTTCGCAAGGCACGTAAACGGCAGCCCATAAAAGCGAACAGTACTTCATCTTTAAGGTGATCTCTGAAGACTAATTCTCCTCTGCTGAGTGCCCTGTTTCATCTCCAAGCTCTGCTGTTCCCTGCCTCCAGGGGACCCCTTTCGGCTTCCTCGAACCCCTCCCCATTTTGGTGCCCTCTGCCTTCCCATCAGGGAGGGGCTTGAGTGGGAGGAGGGTGCAAGATAGGGCAGGGGTGTGGGAGTCGCAGAGGGGAGACGGCTGACCTCTCTGCCATGCCAGCCCCAGCCTCGCCAGCCAGCGGACCTTAATGCTACAGAGTCTGGTGATGCGGCCCTGAGCTGCTCGGGGCAAGGTGTCTCCCGACGGACTCCAGAATGACAGGGACTTAGCTGCTGACACAGAGCTTTGTCTATCAAACCCAGCCATACTTTAGGCAGAGGAGGGAAATCATAGAACAGCCCAGTTAGCAGCCCTGGCACAGAGGCAATTCCGGAGTGCCCCAATCCTGGGTCCAGGTGGCGGCTCCAGTGCACCTCCCCCACGTGACTTTGGATGAGGGTCTTGTTCTCTGAGCCTCAGTTTTCCAATCTGCGTAGTGAATTCAACCATAGCCTCAACTGCATGGGGTGACTTGGAGAATTCAGTGATGGGAACATGGTCCACGCCCAAGGAATGGCAGTGATGATGCAGTGCCCACCTGTCTGTAAGCTGCTGACCTGCAGGTGGCTGGGGGCTGGGGATGGCCTGAAGCTTGCCCATTCTGTGCCAGGCTATCAGAGATGGGCACCGGGTCAGAGGCAGCCCTGCCTCGGGGCCCAGGGCCCAGCCAGGGTCATGAGCCTCTGCCCTGCCAGGTCAGGTAGGTCTCAGGAATGCCTTCACCCCTTCCCCGTACCAGCTCCCTCCTTCTGTCCATCTGCCTGTCCACCTAGCAGCGGCCATCGGGGCTGCTCTGTGCCAGGTGTTGAGCAGGTCCCTACCTGTGGAGGGGCTCCCAAGTTCCTGAACTTGGGATTCACTAGTCCCTGAATCCTCAGAAGCTGTGCCCACAGCTTTCACAAGACACCCCGAAAGAGTTAGACAAAGTCAAGAATCACGGTCTATGCACCAGGCATGGTGGCTCGCGCCTGTAATCTCAGCACTTTGGGAGGCCAAGGTGTGAGGATTGCTTGAGCCCAGGTGTTTGAGGCCAGCCTGGGCAAAGTAAGGAGTCCCTATCGCTACAAAAATTAAAAAAAAAATAAAATAAAATAATTAGCCGGGCATGATGGTGCATCGTCCCAGCTACTCAAGAGGCTGAGACGGGAAGGTTGCTTGAGCCAAGGAATTTGAGACTGCAGTGAACTAGGATTGTGCCCTTACACTGCAGCCTGGGCGACAGAGTGAGTCCTTGTCTCTTAAAAAAAGAATCCCGCCTGGCGTGGTGGCTCACGCCTGTAATCCCAACACTTTGGGAGGCCGAGGTTGGTGGATCACGAGGTCAGGAGATCGAGACCATCCTGGCTAAAACGGTGAAACCCCGTCTCTACTAAAAATGCAAAAAATTAGCCGGGCGTGGTGGCAGGCGCCTGTAGTCCCAGCTACTTGGGAGGCTGAGGCAGGAGAATGGCGTGAACCCGGGAGGCGGAGCTTGCAGTGAGCTGGTATCACGCCACTGCCCTCCAGCCCGAGTGACAGAGCGAGACTCCGTCTCCAAAAAAAAAATCCCAGTAATCCAAGTCCATAGAACAGGAACTCTCCAAGAGCAGGAACTGGAGCTGACTGGTCCCCTGATACCTCCTCAGGATTGGCCCACAGCCTGGTCATGGGGAGATCTAGTGAATGTGGAATAGATGATTGAATGAATGATTGAGTGAATGAAGTTGAAGGCCACAACAATCTGTCTTATAAGCACCCTCACGGGGGGAGCACAGAGGAAGAGCCCCTCCAAGCTGGGGGGAGTGGAGTGGAAACAGTCAAGGAAGGCTTCCTGGAGGAAGTGACAGCTAGCTGAGCCCCGAAAGAAGAGAATACATTAGGCCAGTGGAAGAGGAGGAGGGGAAGCGGATGCTCCTGGCCAGCCAAGGGAGCAGTTTGTGCAGAGCTGGTGCAGGGGAACTGTGCGTTCAGGTCTGGCTGGAGTAAATTGTCTTGATGCATGGAGCCTGGAATGGACGCAGCCCCCAAGGGGACCGGGCAGGCGTGGAGCACTGAGTCCTGGCAGCCGCATGACAACAGGGACAGGCCAAGGATCTCTCTTCCGCATCCTGACAGCAAAGCAGATCTCTTTCCTGGGGATCTGCATGTCCAGGCACATGTCCCACTGTAAACTGTCCATTACAATTGTAAGCAAGTAAACTGTCCATTACAATTGTAAGACGTCCCCCCATGTTGGAGATGCTAAAACGAGAAAAAAAGAGAAGGTGCATCCCAGCATTGACGACACACAGAAATAACACTTTGGGTGGAAAAAAAAATGTCCTCCAGATGCTGTGTGCACATTGATCATGGGATAATAAAAGCCACTAATATTTATTGCGCGAGCACGACGTGCCAGGCACGGTTCCAAGCGCTTTAATATGCGAAGTCATTTAAAGACATGTCTCAAATTCAGAAAGTTGAAAATGTGGGGAAAATGTGTCTGAGAGTTGAGGAAATTCCATCATAGGAGGGGCCTGGCCTGGGGAGGAAGGCAGGAGGCTTGGGGCCTAAACCCAGTTCTGCTTTTGTTTGCTGTGTGACTCTGGGAGAGCCCCTTGCCCTCTCTGGGCCTCAGTTTTCCCTTGTGCGTAATGCTCAGGGGCCGTGAGCAAGTCTGCCCAGTGAATCTGGGCCTCCGAGAGTGTGTGCAGCCACACTCTGGCACCTCCGTTCACCACAAGCTGTCCCTCGGCCCTGGCTTCTGGCCAACACGGTTTTTTTTAATTAATTAATTTATTTATTAATTTATTAATTTATTTATTTATTATCGCGCCTGCCCTTCGTTCCCATTTTGCTTGTTTGTTTGTTTGTTTTGGAGACAGAGTCTAGCTCTGTCTCCAGGCTGGAGTTCAGTGGCACGATCTCAGCTCACTGTAACCTCCACCTCTCAGGTTCAAGGGATTCTCGTGCCTCAGCCTCCCAAGTAGCTGGGACTACAGCCACCACGCCCAGCTAATTTTTGTATTTTTAGTAGAGACGGGATTTCACCTTGTTGGCCAGGATGGTCTCGATCTCCTGACCTCGTGACCTGCCCACCTCGGCCTCCCAAGTGTTGGCCTTACAGGCGTGAGCCACCGCGCCCGGCCCCGTTCCTGGTTTGGAGATACGGCTTGTTCTGGAGTGACAGCCACCTGTTGCCTCAGCCCCCCTCCTCCTTGGAAGGCAGCAGGCCTCTTCTCCAGGGTGGCCTTAGGGCTACCTGGCCCAGCAGGTTGGCATGTGCCCTGCCAGGGGCCTGCTCTGTGAAGAGGTAGAGGAAGGAGAGAGGACGGGGTGGGGTGTGGGAAGGAGGTGCCCGGGAGCCCCCATGTGCCTGGGGACTGGAGGACAGTGGGACAGAACACGGGATGTGGCCGCTGCTGTTGGAAGGGACCTTCCGTGATGGGTGCCCACTGCCCCAGGGCACTCGTTCCAGAGACAGCACGAGACCATCTCTAGCATCGCTGCTGTTGCATCACAGCTGTCTCTGACCCGTGTATAGAGAGGTGGGTGTCTCTGTATCACTCTATTTTACAGGCGAGGAAACTGAGGCTCAGAGAGGTGAGGCCCCTCGCCCAAGGTCACACTGTGGGAAATGCAGCTTGGAGGCCTGAGCCCTGACCCGTCTGGCTGCAGAGGTGGGATCTCCACCTCCAGCCCTTACTGGGTGGTATGGGCTCCACGGGGCCACATGGCCGCACACACAGGTGACCATGGGTCCTTGGGCTGTCACCGTGCAGGGCATGGGGGGTGGGGGACAGGCGGCAGGGGCGGCGAGAAGGAAGGCTTGGCATTCTGCTTGTGTCTGTGTGTCTTTCTGCCTCGGTTTCTATTTCCCATCCTCTCCATCTCCATCTCCCCGCGTCTCCCCGCGTCTCCCCGCGTCTCCCCACGTCTCCCCGTGTCTCCCTGTGTCTCCCTCCCTGTCTCTCCCTACGTCTCCACCTCCCCTCTGGGGCCCTGTCTCTCTCCACTTTCTCCCTGAGGCGCTCGCTGTGTCCCTCTCACTGCATCTGTGCGTGTCCCTGTCTCCCTGTCTCCCCTTGGACTGTCTCTCAGTGCCTATCTCATCTCAGTCTCTCTGTGCCACGCCCTTGCCCAGCCCCCAAGAAAGGGCTTCTCTGACCCCAGGTATGCCTCTAATGCTGGCTCCTTCTCTCTCCTGTTTGTCTGTCTGTGTCTGTGTGTCCTGGGCGGGCCTGCAGCGGCCTAGCTGTGGTTACATGCTGTGCACCGTGCTGCTGGCCCTGGCTGTGCTGCTGGCCGTGGCTGTGACCGGTGCTGTGCTGTTCCTGAACCACACCCACACGCCAGGCACGGCACCCCCGCCTGTCGTCAGCACTGGGGCTGCCGGCGCCAACAGCGCCTTGGTCACTGTGGAGAGGGCAGACAGCTCCCGCCTCAGCATCCTCATCGACCCGCGCTGCCCCGACCTCGCCAACAGCTTCGCACGCCTGGAGAGCGCTCAGGCCTCGGTGCTGGAGGCGCTGACCGAGCACCAGGCCCAGCCACGGCTGGTGGGTGACCAGGAGCAGGAGCTGCTGGACACGCTGGCCGACCAGCTGCCGCGGCTGCTGACCCGAGCCTCAGAGCTGCAGACGGAGTGCATGGGGCTGCGGAAGGGGCATGGCACGCTGGGCCAGGGCCTCAGCGCCCTGCAGAGCGAGCAGGGCCGCCTCATCCAGGTAGGGCTGGGGTCTGCGTCTCGGGGTCTTGCTAGAGGCAAGGGGTTGGCGCTGCAACGTGCCAGGTGCCTGATGTCCACAGCCTCACTTAATCCCCAAGTGCCCCAGACAAGGGGCTACTGCTGTTCCCATCTACAGACAAGCCCATGAAACTCAGGGAGGTGCAGTCACTCATTCAGGGCCGCACAGCTACTGGGAGCCAGGATTCAAACCCAGTTTCTTTCCCGGTGACCCTGGGTAATTGTACAGCACCCCACGGCGTTTGGCACTCAGTCAAATCCAGGGCTCGAGGGCTTCCCCAGTGCTCCAAGATGCAGGCGAGGCAGGGCATTGTGCCCCCATCAGCAGCAAATCGAGGCTTAGCGAGGGGAGGTGGCTTGCTAAAGATCACGTGACTGGTCAGTGCTACCCCATCAGAGAGAGCCGCACACCATCTCTCCACGACCCCTCCCAGTTCACTACCATGCAATGCCCGCAGCTTCCCAGGGACAGAGATACCAGTCCAGGCAACCCAGCCAGACCCCTAGCCTGTCCCAAACCACCTCCACCCTCCCCACCCCTGCCCCCAGCCAAGCCAGGCCCCAGCCAGCTCCAGGCGGATCTGGGTGAAGACTTTCCAACTTCAGCTCTGAGACCACACTGGAAGCACCACCCACAAGAAGTTCCTCTTTCATAGGATGAGGGACGTGGGATCATCTCTTCTGCCTCCACCCTTTTCCAGGACAGAAAATGGTGGCCCAGAAAGGGGTGGTGATTTTTTTCCTGGGTGTCGTGGCTGGGTCAGACCTGGAATCCAGCCCCCTTGGAGCCCTGCCCAGCCCCTGGCCCTGTGCCACAGCCTCGCGGTGACTCAGATCCCTGGAGGCTAGGAGCCAAGCCTCTGCCCCCATGGGCGCCCCAGCCCCTTCCGCCCCACCTCCCAGCAGCCACTGGGAGAACCAGGCATTTGGTCACTCAGCGCTCATGAGCAATGGGCCCTTTCCCTGCCTCTGAAGGCGGCAGCTGGAGAAATTACAGTCCTCATCACCCTGTCTGGGTGACTGATGGGAAGGTAGCTTCCCTTCCCGGGGAAGAGGGAAGTTTATACTGCCTTCCAGCTGCCGCCCGCCCCCAGCTGCAACTTCCCCAGGCCTCATCAGCAGGGCTGGGGGCTAGGAGTACCTCCTGACTTTCTGGCTGACCTGGGACCCCTACCTCACTCCGAATCGCTCAGCCCCTGGTCAGCTCAGGCCCAGTTCATGAAAGCCTGCCCTTAGAGCTGGGGTGGAGGATTTAGAAGGAGGGACCCCAGAGTCCTGCCCTCCCAATAGCCTGCGCAGAGGTATAGAGTGTTCCCGCAAGACTAACAGCCTGTCTGGGCCCAGGAGCGCCGGCTCACCTGACATGTTTACTTCCCCAAAAATGTTTGATTTGACTCATTCCCTACAGACTGGATGATTCAAGAGACAGTGTGTCTTTATGTTTCATTCAGAGGCAGCGAGCCGTGCTCTTAACTCCTCCCTTCCAAGCTTCCCAGACCCTCAGTCGATCAGACGTGGGTTTCTCAAAGCTGTGCCTGCAGGCACCTTGGGTTGGAATTGCCAGAGGTGTTTGTTAAAAGGCAACTTCCTGGCCGGGTGCAGTGGCTCATGCCATAATCCCAGCACTTTGGGAAGCCGAGCTGGGCAGATCACTTGGAGTTCAAAACCAGCCTGGCCAACATGGTGAAACCCCATCTCGACTAAAAATACAAAAATTAGCCGGGCGGGCGCCTGTAATCCCAGCTACTCAGGAGGCTGAGGCAGGAAAATCGCTCAAACCCGGAAGGCAGAGGTTGCCGTGAGCCGAGATCACACCACTGCACTCCAGCCTGGGCAACCGAGCAAGACTCTGTCTCAAAAAAAGGAAAAGGCAAGTTCCTGGGCCTCATCCCCAACCCCCTGCAGCCCCCTGGACAGGGGTGATTCTCATGTGTAGTCCCTGAGGCCTGCTGGTCATGGCTGAGCTGAGCCGTTCTGCCCAGAGGGTCTGAGTCCACAGAGCTTAGATCCAGTCTAGGCCCCATCTGTGCCAGCTGTGGGATGCTGGGCAGGTTGCAGCCCCTCTCTGGGCTGGTTCTTCTGACCCATGAAATGTGTATAACACAGTCTATGCTGAAGGGATATTGGAGGGCCTGGCTACAGGGCTTTGTTGGCTCTGTCACCATCTGTACCATCAACATCTCCTTATTACTATAGTAGAAATTGTGAGCTGAAATTTAAACCTATAGGGAACCACCATGCCACTATTGAAAACTCCCTTTTCTTTTTTCTTTTTTTCTTTTCTTTTCTTTTCTTTTTTTCTGAGGCAGTCTTACTCTGTCACCCATGCCAGAGAGCAGTGGCGCGATCACGGCTTATTGCAATCTCCACCTCCTGGGCTCAAGCAATCCTCCCACCTCAGTCTTCTAAGTAGCAGGCACTACCAGTGTGCACCACCATGTCTAGCTAATTTTTTTGATTTTAAAAAAATGTTTTTGTGGAGAGGTCTTGCTGTGGTGCTCAGGCTGGTCTCAAACTCCTGGCCTCAAGCAATCCACCCACCTTGGCCTCCCCACGTGCTGATATTATTGTGTTGGGCCGAAAATCCCTTTTCTGATAGGAATGATAGGTCTACACCATGTGCTGGGCTCTGTGTTGACAGGCACTTTGCAGCCCAATAACCCCAGGAGGTTGGTACATTTGTTATCCCATTTTATTTTAATTCATTTATTTATTTTTTTGAGACATGGTTGTATCGCTCTGTCACCCAGCTGGAGTGCAGTGGTTCGATCTCGGCTCACTGCAACCTCTGTCTCCCGGGTTCAAGCAATTCTCCTGCCTCTGCCTCCTGAGTAGCTGGGACCATAGGCACGCACCACCATACCCAGCTAATTTTTTTTTTTTTTTTTGTATTTTTAGTAGAGACAGAGTTTCATCATGTTGGCCAGGCTGGTCTCAAACTCCTGACCTTAGGTGATCCACCCGACTTGGCCTCCCAAAGTGGTAGGATTACAGACCTGAGTCACTGCGCCTGGCCTTGTTATCCCATCTTATGGAGAGGCAGACTGAGGCTCTGAGTGGCAGGTGCCTGTGCAAGCTCACTCACACAGCTAAGCAGTGCTGGGGACAGCAGCTCTGATGCCACTACCTCTAAGCGCTGCCCAGCCCTCCCCTGATGCGCCTGTGCAGCTCGGCGAGCGGAGACTCACTTCGCCATTAATTCGGGGCATGTTTATATGTACATTTTCAACTTTAATCATCTGCTGGTTTAAACGGAGGTCTTCCCTGCCCGTTAGCAAGAGGGAGGAAGCCGTGCCTGAGTTTTCTGAGTGTGTTGTGGCTGTGTTGACTCAGATAAATGGGCAGCACCGGTGTGATTTAACCAAGTGATCTTTGCCGCACACACATTGCAGGGCAGCCCCCACCTGCCGTCTTCCCTCCCGCCCCGGTTTGGGGGTGCTCCCTCTGTCCCTCTGTGGGGCATGGAGCTCGTCTACAGGACGCTGCTGTGACACCCAAACGCTCTGCCTGCTCATCTCTGCTCCTCTCTCCCCCCACCTCAGCCCTCACTGAATCACCTGCTCAGCCGAGGGGAAACTGACAAGGGAACTAAAAGCTTTGCAGGGCCTCTGCCTCTGGATGAGCCGAGAATCATATTTGGTAAACTGCCGGCACTGTATATTTCTATTTTCCTTCCGCGAATGGGCTATTATCTGACAAGTGACAGGTTCGGTGTGTAAAGATCTGGCCGACTCCACGCTCGCTGGCTGGCCAGCTGTAGCTTGCCCGCCACCCCCTCACCCTCCACGTGGTTCTGCAGCCTCCTGCAGCCCAGGGTGGGGGCAACAGACCTCAGACCCTTCAGGCAGCCAACACAGGCAGAGGTGCTGGGGGACAGCACCGCGCTTGCCAAATCCAACCCCAGGGCTGTGATGGAGGGAGGGGTGGGAGTGAAGGATGGAGAACAACGGCTGAGCTCCCCAGCCCAGGCTCTCCTGAATCCCCCCACTCAGAGAAACAGGGCTCATTATCCTGGGTTACAAGGCAGTGGAGACATGGAGAGATTCAGACACTGTTCCCGGGTCACCCAGCTAGTGAATGGGGGAGGGATTGGAGTAAAAACACAAGACAGTCAACACCAGAACCTGGGTCCAAACCACCACCCCGTTCCCATCCTGACCCTGGTCTCTTACACGAGAACACAGCCCCAGGCTCCTTTCCTGCCAGCCCGCCCTGGGTAGGTGACCTGAGTCCTGCTCCCTGCCCCCACTGCCATCCTTCACTCTCAGGGATCTCTCTTTCGGGGCCTCGGTTTCTCCATTTGTCACAAGAGATGACAACCTTAAGTCTTCCCTCTGCGGCGTGGTGGGGGACTCAGTGAGGTCATGGACATCAGAGAGCCACAGAAACTCAGAGTGGTGTTTGCATGGGGAGTGGGGGTGGGATGGGGAAAACTTGTTGGTCCAGAAGCCCTGTGGCCTCCCCAGCCTCAGGGCACCCCTCTGTCAAGTCCAGATCAATCACTCCTGCCTCAGCAGCCTTGCTCGGGATCGGAAGAGGCAGCGGTGGGGATGTCTGGTAGCCTGGAAGGTGCTGTGGGAACTTGGTGTGCTGAGTACCCGGCCGGTCCTTGCCGCTGTGCTGGGCACCCCCCACGTGTTGTCACTGGTCCCCATAACAGTTCGGCCAGGCCAGGGGAAAGGAGGCGTGGTGAGGACACTCACCTCCAGTCCTATAACTGGCAAGTGGATGCGCTGGGCTGAAGCTGGATTTGCCCAACACTGGGCGCTGTCTCCCCGCACGGCATGGCCTCCTCCAGTTTACTCTTCCCTGGGCTGAGCACGCAGAGATGGCTGAAGAAGACAGCCTGGGGCAGCAGGGGTGGCAGGTGCCTGCTGGAGCTTCCTTCCCTTCCTGCCCGCTCCCCGGCCCTCCCAGCCCTCGAGGTCCCAGAGCACAGGCTCCATCATAGCCCGGCTGGCCCCTCGGGACAGGGACCCAGGGGCAGGGCAGGGCGGGGGCTACCATTGAGCCAGGAGCCCACCTCTGCCTCAGGAGAGGGCCCACTCTGGCCAGTGACCTGCTATGTGCTCCACCCAACCCCCAATAGAGCCCCTGCCCCCTCAGCTCACCCCCTGTGTCCACAGCTTCTCTCTGAGAGCCAGGGCCACATGGCTCACCTGGTGAACTCCGTCGGAGACGTCCTGGATGCCCTACAGAGGGACCGGGGGCTGGGCCGGCCCCGCGCCAAGGCCGACCTTCAGAGAGCGCCTGCCCGGGGAGCCCGGCCCCGGGGCTGTGCCACTGGTGAGTGGGGCAGGGGCTGCCTTCCTCCGGTGACTTGGGTCCCAGCTGTAGGGAGTGGGGAAGCTGGGGTGAGGGTTCCCAGCCATGAGACTTCCAGGGCCCGACCCCGCTTCCATGTGGCCTGTGCTGAAACCCTCTTGGTCCATTCTCCAGAGGAGGAAAGGCCCAGAGAGGGTGATTCTCTCGCCCGGCCTCAGCAGGGAGTGGCAGAGCCAAGGTCGGACTCCAAGGCCGGTGCTCTCTCAACCCCATGGGACCCCCACATGCGTTATCGACGGACGGACAGTGTGGGCGAGGGGGCTGGGCAGGAACGCCCTGGGGGCCGCAGCCACCCTGACGGCCTTGCCTGCCTCAGGCTCCCGGCCCCGAGACTGTCTGGACGTCCTCCTAAGCGGATACCAGGACGATGGCGTCTACTCTGTCTTTCCCACGCACTACCCGGCTGGCTTCCAGGTGTACTGTGACATGCGCACGGACGGCGGCGGCTGGACGGTGAGTGTCCCCGGCCGGGCGGGCGGCAGCACAGGCACCGGGGACCGCGAGGCTGTGTACGTGAACCTGGGCGTTCTGAGCAGCCTCCCACCCAGCCCTCCACCGTGGACCTGTGGACTGGCCCCGTCCCGGTGCCCTTTGGCCTGGCCTGACCCCACCCCTACAGAACAGAGGAACAGGGGACTCTGTGAGCTGGCCCTGGGGGACCCACTCTGGAGCGGACATCAGGCAGGAGCCACCTTGGGCTCCCTGAGATCCCCAGCCGTGGCTCTTCCAGTGGGAGGTTTCTAGGCAAGTTGGGGTTTGGGCCTAGGAGGACACGTGGCAGCAGGAACCTGTTGCTAACGTGGGTTCCAGGGCTGTTGTGTGCGGGTGCCTGACTTTTTGAACTACACAACACACGGCGCATGTGCAGAAGAGAAAGGAGGAGTGTGGCTGCTGGGAGCAGAGACCCCCCGTGGCTACGGGCTGACAGGAGCTGTCTGATTCCTGCGCCTCCTGGTTCCTGCTTGGGTGGGAAACAGGAGCGAGATGTCCCAACTGCCAGTCACAGGGCAGGGGCGGGACCACACGAGGTGCTGTGAGAATGGGGCAGACACCCTGGTTTGAAGACCCGAGGGCAGCTCCAGAGGGGCCTCTGGGAAGCCCCTTCCAGAACTGGGTTGGCAAGCTTTGTCTGCAAAGGGCCAGATAGGGAGGCTCGGAGGCCTGCTGTCCACACAGTCCTACAGAGGACGGAGGGAAGCTCTGATCTCCGTAGTAAAACAACTTCCCTCTGTCCTTTGTAGGGAAAAGAGCCACAGAGCAAACCAAAAGGCGCAGGCATGGCTTCGGTCCAGTGATGCTTGTAGACACTGAAATGTAAATGTTATAAAATTTTCATATTCTTCCTTAAATGTTATTCAGGTGGATATTTAAACTTTTTTCTTTTGATTTTTTAAAAACCATGTTAAGGCAGCGCTTTGTGGCTCACAACTGTAATCCCAGCACTTTGGGAGGCTGAGGTGGGTGGATCATCCGAGGTCAGGAGTTTGAGACCAGCCTGGCCAATATGGTGAAACCCCGTCTCTACTAAAAATACAAAAATTAGCCAGGTGTGGTGGCACATGCCTGTAAACCCACTACTCAGGAGGCTAAGGCAGGAGAATCACTTGAACCCAGGAGGCAGAGGTTGCGGTGAGCCGAGGCTGAGCCACTGCACTCCAGCCTTGGGCAACAGGGCAAGACTCCATCTCAAAAAAAATTAAAAAATAAAAATAAATTAAAACCATCTTAAAAATTCAGACCCTTCTTAGCTTCCTTGCTGTATACAAGCAGGCAGACGGCAGGAAGTGTCCTGTGGGTAGTGGTTTGCTGACCCCATCCTAGAGCTGGAGACCCCTGGTGGCGGGAGCTGAGCTCACGGCCCCCTTCTCCTGCTGGTGGACTTCTGACCCCCTCCAGAGGCTCAGGCTTGGGGTTGGGCGTTAGCAGGGCCAGCTCTGGCCACTGAGTGATTGTGTGCACATTTAAACGATGCATAGTTCTTCCTTTGTGCATACTGGGATGCCGGGCTTGGAGGAGAACAGATGTGAGTCCTGCCCACTGACTGGGTGCTCTTGAGCAGTGAACAACCTGCACTGCTGTCCCTGGAGGTCTGCGTGCCACCCCGAATGCTGCCCGGCTTTCCCCAGTTGGCTGTGGTTGGGACACCTAGTGACAGTGGAAAGCGGGACTAGGAGGACTGGCTCTTAAAGGCTTCTCCGCTTCATATTTCATTTCAGTTGGACAGATATTTTTAAGCGCCTACTGTATACTGGGTTCTGGGGAAGCACAGAGATGGGGAAGCCCCTGTCCCAGTCCTCCCGAGGAATTTACAGGCCGGGGGGCACTGGGGGTGGAAGAAGTCAGTGTAGCAGAGATGAGGGTAAAGCTTCCTGGAGAAGGGGGCATTTCTCATGAGCCATTAAATCGGGGAGGATTTCTGAGTGTGGGCATGAAGGAGAAGGTATTCCAGGAGGAGGGGGCAACCTAACGTGGCTCCCCCGGCACATTTGGGGAGCAGGGCCTGAGAGATTCGTGGTGCGTGAGGAGATGAGGCTGGAGTGGTCCGGCCCCAGGCTGCAGGGTTGGGACACACTCGGGAGCTACTGGGGGTGTTGAAGAGAGGAAGACAGGATGGAGACTGTGCTTCAGGCGGGGTGACTTGGCCATGTGCATCCTTGGGCAGTGGCGAGAGGGACAGGGAGGAGGTGTTATGAGCGTTCAGTCCTCAGGTCTCTGATGGGGCCCTGACAGCAGATGTCAGAGAGGCAGGGAGCCCAGAGGTTCCACGTTCTGGCTCTGTCATCCACAGACCACCCCAGGCATGGCCCTGAGTCCTGCTGTGTGACCTGGGGCAACTTACCTCGGTTCTCTGAGCCCCCATTTCCTCGGCTGTGAAATGGCGATGCCTGCCTACATCCTTGGAGCTCTTAACTGCAAGCACAAGAAAGTGGGGGGCTCGGCTGAGAAGGAGTGTGCTGGAGAGAGACTGGGAGGCCAGAGATGCCAGTCAGGGCTGCTCAGCCAGGAGCAGAGACCCCAGACCAGGCCAGGGGGTGGCCCGGTGAGAACCCCACTGCCCCAGGGCTGTTGCCGCTGAGTGCAGGACGCATCTCGCCCGGGATCTTGGTGTTGACTATTTCTGGTGTATTGATGTCTAGACCCGCAAACATCTGGGGAAGGGACTTAACATCAGACAAAACAAGTGACCGAGAAACAGGAGAGAGGGAAGCCTCTTGGCGGGGAGTTTTGGGGGAGGCAGGGTGTAGGCGACCTGGGTCAGTGTTGAAAGGGGTCAGCCGTCCTCAGCAGAGGCAGGACTCAGGGAGGCCTGCACAGGCGGGCGGTGGAGGGGCGAGTCCGCTAGACGGGCAGCGCCTCCTGTGTTAGGAGCCAGCGTGAGAACAGACGAGAATCCCCCCAAGACCCCAAAGACAGACACATCTCTAAACCTGTCTGCAAGCTCCAGAGGAGAGCTTTTAAATGGACTGGAGCTGCGTCTGGGGGATAAAAGCTCTTTTGTTTTCCTAACGCTGAGAACATCTGAGTTATGGCATTTGCTTCAGGGAACCCCTTGGCGGGCGGAACAGTGAGAAGGCGCCAGCCGAACCCAGAAATCAGAGTTCAGGGTCAGGACAGGCTTAATGAAAGATCAGGACGCCGTAGCGGGCCATGCGTCCTCCACTCCGGTGGACGTGAAGCCAGTCTCCTGGGAAGTCAATCAGGATTTGGGCTGGGAGGCGGGTCATTCCGACGGCCTCGGCTTCAGGGGCGATGAGAGGGGAGTCGATGGGGAACTCCCCCCCAGCCCTGGCACTCAGACACCTGGTTCCGGGGTCTCTGGGAGAGAGGCCATTCTCATCTGAGAAGTGCTTGCGTGGCCAGTGAGCGTTAATATCCATTTGGGCCTCCATCAGAAGCAATCTTTTCCCAGGAAACCTCTCGACATCTGTCAGGATCACCCCCCTGCCACACGGAATCTCTCAGAAACTCAATTTTTGTTTGGGAAGGAGCTGGCTGCCGCCTCTCCAGCCCCGGATACCATCCATCCTCATTAGACTCCCGGTCCAAACTGCCAGGCCTTGAGCGCCAACGCCACCTGATCTTTCCCGGAGGACAGGGCACCTGGAGCTGTGCCCCGAGACCCTGGGGCTGGACACGCTCACCAGAGCCTGCTTCCTGGAGAGACCTGCAGGGTGAGGGTGGAACTCAGCAGCCCTGTCCCCAGAGCCACTTCACAGTTCATACACCCCTGCCCCCCCTCCCCCAGCATCATGCCAGCGCCCTTCAATCCCTGGAGGCAGGCAGGGCAGCCTCAGAGAAGGCCAGGGATGTGCCCAAGGTCACCCAGCAGCTTCCAGGCCTCCCACAGTGGCACACACTTATTCTTGTGTTCAAACACTGAGCGCCCAAAGCAAGCCAGGGCCAGGGAGGTCAGCAGCGACTAGACAGGTCACCAGGCTCCCGGCCTGGCGGACAGAAGGACAAGGAAGCTGACTTGTGCCAGGAATGGGGAGCCCCGGGGCTCGGAGGAGAGACCTCTATTCCAGTCTGGGGGATGGGAGGAGTGAGAGGCAGGGAGACGGTGTGGCTTGTCTGGGCCACGGTAGCTCAGTGCTACTGGCCTGTCTGGTTTAAGGAGGTTTGGGTCCCGGACAAGGCAGGGGAGGCGGCAGGGGCTGGGTCATGCAGGTGATCCTCAGACCCCATCATCACCCCCATCACAGGTCCGGCCCTTCCATGGCAGGAGTCCCAGGGGCAGGGACCACACCCTGCTGTGGCCACGTTAGCTCAGGGTGGGCACCATACCCGCACACCCTCGGCGCTCTCTAAATGCTTGCCAGATGATGGCTGCTGGCACGCTTTGGCTGCGTAGTCTTATCTCTGTAAGTCTTGCTTTTCTCATCTGTAAAATGGGTACAATGTAGAGCTGCTCTGCAGATGTGGGCGAAGTCAGAACCCTTCACCAGCTGCTCACCCACCTGTGAGGAGTGAGCGGGGAGAGGGGCTGGGAGGGAGTCAGCGCTGAGCCCCGGAGGTTTCCTGTGAACACAGGATCTGGCTCTGCCTTGTAGCATCTTATAATCAAGGGGAGGCGGAGTCGTAAAAAGAAAGGCCAGTTTTTCTCATTCAGAAGGTGCCGAGTGGGATGAAGCCAGCCATTGCCAGCCCACATCCCCCACCCCCAGCGCCCCTGGCTGTGTGAGATGCGAGGGTCACATCCCTTCTTGGAGGGCTCCTTGCTCATCTGTCCAGTGGGGTGGCCCTCTTGCCTGCCTTGCAGGGCCTGGGCAACGGGGTGGCTGTGCCCGGAACCTGCCACGGGTGGGCGGAAGGAGGGCCTCAGCGCCTGGGCTCCCCGCCCCCACCCAGGCTCCCTGTCCTGCTGCACAGTCTTGTCCCCACCGCAATCTGCCGGGGGCAGCGCTGCCCCCTAGGCCTGATTGCCAAGCCCTCATCATTGCATAGTCACTGGC